ATTCTCCGGAATAACATTCTCCCGTGGAGAATCAGCCTTCAAGTCTTGAACGCTTTTGCATTGATGTTTCCGAGCTGACGATTCTCATTCTCAGTAATCGGAGCACCGAGTACTGTGCCGAGGCTGCAAAGCGAGTTCAGAACCAGAGCCACCACATCTGGTAAATACATTTTAAATAAAACAATATCGCTACTTTTAGGTTGTTTTTTTTAATTATTATTTCAAACCTACGGAGCCGCATCTGAAAATATTTAAGGTCATTGGCCATCAAACGTTCACATTGATAGTGTTGATGCTGCTTGTACAGTATAGCTGCATAAACCAGTTATATTTTAGACTTCACTGAGGATACAAAATAGAAAAAAAGTTTCAGAAGCCTTAAAAAGTTGCACAAAAAAAAAGTAAAAAATAGGCCGTGGGGACCGGGCATTATATGTGCTAGAGAAGCTCCATGTAATAGGCATGCTCGGACTTGTGGTGCCCCAGCCATTTGCAGCTTGAGCAGTACAATGCTAAGACTTTATTGCCAAGCCAGGCACATCCTGCTCCCCTCAATGGGACTTCACATCATCCTAGGAGCCACTATACTGATTCCCGGCTTCAAATTGTAATGATACAAAAGCCGAGGAGCCGCAGCAAGTCCGCAATGGAGCCTCGCCGGGTGCTGGTAGGTGGCACTTACCTGCAGTCCTGGCAGATGTTCTCAATGTCGCTCCTTCTCTGCCCCTTCGTAGACATCTTGCTGTGAATCAGGTTGATTTTGCTCTTCAGGGAGGCAGAGGACAAGGCGGCGGAGGGGAAGAGGTCACTTTTCTCACTCCTATGGGCTCCTGACATGGCAGACGAGTTTGGATATTGCAGAGTTTCCTAGCTGGAGCACACCGCACATCCAACAGCGAATGTAGACGCTGCTCTGTCCTGGAGTACAAAGGAGAAGCGCTGCGTAGGCTCATTACAGGGCAATTCATTATCATCAGCCCCGGTCTTCTCAGGGATCTAGAGTACCCGAGTACACCGCCAACAGCAATTCATAACACAATTATCGAATAATGGGAACCCAATGCATTCACTTCATTTCCTTTTTGAAATCATTTTGTATGAACGAATGTTTAGTGATTTAAGGAACATCTGCGCCTTTGTAAACGGAACACGACAATTCATATTGTGCTCCTCGGGCCCGAATGCTTCACACTCAGCAGCTTGCAGTCCTCAATCCGCCAATCTGCGGAACGTCCCAGCAGTGTAACCGAGAGGCTTAAAGTGACGCCAAACTCCGGAGATAAATCTTAAAAATACATTCAGGAACCTTCGTAACAGACGTAGCCCCCCTCCAGAAGGAAGGACAGTGTCAGAGATGATTGGAGGATCTACAGCCGAGCGATACACAAATAAGATACATTGTTGCTCATAGTGAAGGTTCTTGAATGTATTTTTAAGATTTAAAGGAGAACAATGAGGGGGGTGCTTTTCACTCACCTCATAGTTCTAGCCGACCTGTGACAATGAGCCCTAACCCCATAGTTCTCCTTTAACTCCTGAGTCTGGTGTCACTTTAACAATGTAGAGTTATCCAAATAGATCAGAACATTCCAAGACCACAAGTGCGATTTGAACCACCGTCGGTGACATCTCTCCTCCTCAGATCACAGAACGACTTGGGTCAAACATTGACTTGTGTGAATCCAAAAGGATAGATCATGTAAATCAGAAACGAATCCACTCGGTGTCCTGAGACGTTCACACCTCTCACCCACATAAATATTCCTTTTATAAAAATAAACACACAAACCAAGATTTGAAAGGTCGGATTTAATTATAAACAGATTTACAAATCCACTCTTCAGTCAGCAGAATATCCGTGCGAGTATAAACAAGCGCTTTCCCCCAATAAACACAAAACCCGCTACATTGTGTGAAGATATTAATTCCTTGGCATTTGTTCAAAACGTTTACATCATCTGCGATCAAAATATTCACAACTATTCACATAATAAATTAAAAGAATACGCTTCACAACCATAAGAGAGAGATATTGTAAGATGCTCCCGGCCCACCGAATAAATAAGAAAGCAGCCATTTTGCAGGTTATACTCGGACTAACGGTGGTTCCTGATATCTCTTCTAGCAAGTGACAAGAGGCGAGGCTCATGGCTGAGGATTGACGCTCCTTGGTGATGAGCCCAGGGGCTTAAAGTGACACTACACTCAGGGGTTAAACCTTAAAAATCCACTTGAGAACCTTAAAAAGGAGAACTATGAGGTGACGTGTGACAATGAGACTGTCACGGGTCGGCTCAATAGATCGGGAAGTGAGCAAACACATACCGGCGCTCGCTCACTTCTCGGTCATCTCCCTGCAGAGAGCCGTGACTGTCACTCACGGCTCCCTGCAGGGATTCCCCACCCTGTCTTCTCTGATCCTCCTGCACTGACTGGAGGAACGGACGGGGGAGGGTACAGCGGACTCTGCCTCTAGATAGGCAGAGCCAGCCGTCACTCACGCAGCTGGGTGGATCCAGACAGTAATGTCGGGATCCGTCCCAACTGCGGCGGTCTCAGTATACAGCGAGCTGTAGCTCCCTATATACTGAGCTTTGGGTCACAGGCGGACGCTAGTTTGTGTCCTCACATGACCCTTAGGAGAACTATGGGGAAAAACACTGACCCCATATTTCTCCTTTAACTATGAGCAACAATGTATCTTATTTGTGTATCACTCGGCTGTAGATCCTCCAATCATCTCTGAATTGGTGCTGACACTGTCCTTCCTTCTGGAGGGGTGGCTACGTCTGTTCTCCATGGTCCCTGTGTATGTTGTAAAGTACTCACCGCTCCAAGCTCCCCCCCCCCGGGATGGACTACAATCTCAATACAAATCAGTAAACTAAACATGAGATTGTAGTCTATCCCGGGAGTGAGCTTGGAGCGGTGACTAGTTGGTTGAAGCCCCTTGTCCTTTGATAGAAGCCATGTCCGCAACCCTTATCAAATAAGAATGTCTTTAGGAAGGGGGGGGGGCGGGGGACGACACATCAATATGGAATTTAGAAGCCAGTCTGTCCAATCCAGGAGTAAGCAGGATTTTCATTTTTAGGTGCCAGCTCCATAGCATTTTTAAGGAGCATTGGCTACCTGGCTCTTGGGATTTGTTCAGCACGGCCCTAAGGGTGGCTAACCGAGAGGAGCCTAACTGAAGACCAAGTGTGGGGCAACATCAAGGCCTCCTTGAACGGCTCTTTCCTCTTCAAAATGGCAAAAGCTCAACCGCAATAAATAGATCATTCACAAAGTTCCAACTACTTCTGGTGGACGAAAAACACCTTTTGGAGGACCCTATCTTCATCTGAGTGTCCCATGGGGGCTGGATTGAGCCACGGCTAACCTATCGCTTTGCCAGTTCATAAGAACAATGACATGTCTATGGGCGGGAGCCAACAGTCCTGACTAATCAGGAGGAAATATTGATCACATTGCACACAAACACTTTTGGATTCCCTGAGAGGAGCCAGTGCTGGAGCCTGGAGGTGTCTGGCTGAGCTACTTCTTACTCTCTTTAGAGGTCTACACACGAAGGGCATTTGGGCGTTCAATGTTTATGCCGAAATCTGCTGAAGTTCTCACTGTATGTTTGGATTGAATTGAATTTGGTTTAAACCCAATTAATAAAATCTCATTAAGATCCACCAGGTTACTGTCATTTCAAAAGAGGTCTTAAATCTTATTAAATCCACAGCTTTGATTAAAATAATCCCTGGCCCTACCATGAAGGACCTTATTAAGTTACTTCCCTGAAGGTTGTGCTCCTGCATTGTCATTCAGTCACATGCTACCCTGGTGGAGTCTACAAGCTGACACTCATTGCACAGACATGGTCCACCATTGCTACTAGGAATGCACCGATACAGTTTTTTGGCAACGAGTACCGATTATTTTTTTCCGGTACTCGCCGATACAGAGTACCGGTACCGTGTTCCCAGATTATCAGGAAGTCAGGTGGCAGATCATGACCTGTCACCCAGCTTCCTGATTGCCTGGGCACTGGCTTCACTTGCCGAGGCTAGTCTAGCAGCAAGTTACGAGGTGCTGTCCAGCTTCCTGATTGGCTAGGAAGCCGGCTTCATTTGTTCCTAGGCAGCCTGGCTTCCTGACCAATCAGGAAGCCGGTCATTACGTGCCGCCCAGCTTCCTGATTGGAAAGGAAGCTGACTCCATGCTCCCTCGGCACTGTGGGTCAGAGGGAGATCTCCCTCTGACCGGAAGTTCTGGTATCGGAAGTAAGTATTGAAGCTTTGGGCGAGTACTCGTCCAAATATTCGGTACCGGTGCCTCCCCAATTGCTACAATTCAGGAAGTTGGTCTAGTGCAGTGGTGGCGAACCTTGGCACTCCAGCTGTGCCAAAACTACAAATCCCAAGATGCATCTGCCTCTGGGAGTTATGTCTGTGGCTGTCAGAGCCTTGCAATGCCTCATGGGACTTGTAGTTCCAAAACAGCTGGAGTGCCAAGGTTCGCCATCACTGGCCTAGTGCAATGATGCGTTGCTGACGCTGGAGCAGCACAAAGGTAGGGGGAAAAAAAACAATCAATCTTTAACAAAACTAAAAGTCATCCAGAGAGGGATTAGATCTACTTTAGGTATATGTCAGGAGAACAAAGACGTCCCTAGGTCCTTCTTGTCAAATGAGAAGATGGATTCCCCAATTTCCTAGTCCAACTAGAGGCTATCTTCTTCCAAAACGATGGTTTTGGACACAAAATGGCCGCCTCTGGTGTACAAACCCGTTGCTGATTTTTCATATATTCGCAAATTTGAAAACACATAACAGAAAATGACTCACAAGGGCACTGCTCCGTGCTCAAGACGGGTACTTTGGTTCTAATTGTCACTTTAACGTTCCAGTCTCCACCCAAACTACCGGAGATGGCGGCTTCCAGTGGCAGTCCATCGCTCTTCCAGTTGCATAGGGAGGTTTGCATATGACCGATACTTTATTTTATTTTTTTCGCTCATAAAGTGTCATCTTCCTGTTCAACCAATAAGATATTTCGTTATTCAGCAGCTGATTAAAAAGAGTGCGATTCTGGACTATGCATAGCTACGCTTAAAATCAAATCAAAATTGGATTAACGCTCTATTGATTTCATGAAACAAATAACATTTCTGTAGGTGGGACTAGATCACGTTTGGGTATCCGCTTCTTTAAATAGTTCTTAAAGTGGACCTTCCATAGTAAAGGAAGGTCGGCTTTCTGCCCCCCCAAACACAAATAGCTTTAAAAAGCCGTCTGTAAACAAACGGTCCACCTGTCACTGTGCCTCACGCCAGAGCTGGGAGCTCAAAATCCTCTGAGAACCCACTCTAGCGCATTGTAAGAACGCATTCTCATGGGGTTTTGAGCTCACGCATGCTCGCCAAGTGGTGGCCTTCAGTGACAGTATTGCCCTATAAGTCTATTTATTTTTTATTTCTATATTTGCCCCAGGGCCCATAGACTCAAGTCACTTGTACTATATATACACCATTGTGTTCCATGCTGCAGGAAGCAGAAACGTAATGTAGGGAAATGGTTTTTCTGAAAATGAGAACCTAATAGCCATAGCAAGCCGTGCCATCAAGATGATCTACACTAAATGGCCGAAAGTATGCGGACTGCCCTCCATATTATGGTTTAGAAGTTTCCAGTGAAGGGTAAAGTTTATTCCACAACATACAAAGACATTGTAGACCATTGTGCTCCTCCAGCCTTGTGGTAACAGTTTGGTGAGGACCCTTTTCTGTCCCATGACTGCCCCCTGTGTGCAAAGCCAGCTCCATAGAGACATGGTGTGACCAGCTTGGTGGGGAGGAACCCGAGTGTCCTGTACAGAGACCCGACCTCAACCTTACTGGACACCTTTGGGGTGAATTGGAACCAGATCGCATGCTCGGTCTTCTCATCCAACATGGTTTAATGAGTTTGGTGTGGAGGAACTCGAATGTCCTGCACAGAGCTCCGGCCTCAACCCTACTGAGCACCTTTGGGATGAAATGGAACGACGATCGTGAGCCAAATCTTTTCATCTAACATCACTACCTGACCTCACAAATGGGCACAAATTCCCCCAAACACCCTCCAAAACCTCCACTCCTCTGGGAAAACCTTCCCAGAGGAGTGGAGGGTGTTGTAGCCACAAAGGGAGAGCCAACTTCATATAAATGGCCATGGTTTTGGAATGCGGTGTCCAACAAATGATTCCTATTAGGTGTGATGGTCAGGTGCCCACAAATTTTGCCTATGTAGCGGAACTCACAGAATCTCTATGACAGCATTGCAGATGGGGAGCGTGCATGTTCTATGAGGGAAAGCTTAGAAAGGTTTTTTTTAAACAGTTGATAAGCTTAAAGCAATTAGTAGGTCACTTCTCCAAAGAGAACCAGTCACAACATGGCTTATGCATGAATCTGAACACTTACAGGTTTATTAATAAAAGGGTGATGAGTTTGGGGAAGTGAACAATCTAGGACAACATAGCTGAACTGGAAAAATTCTCCAATTCAGTTCACTTTCCAGTTCAGCTATGTTGTCCTAGATTGTGCACTTCTCCTATCTTCTCACCCTTACAGACAGAAGAAAAGTCGGCCGCACACTGGATTCCGCTAGAATATTTTATTGGAGTTTGTACCACATCAATGGTGTCCTGCCCAAGGTTCGCCTCCTTTGAGGTACATCTCTACGACTAAGCCTGTGATTGGGTGAAATGCTTCAGAGGGGGGCGGACCTTGGGAGACACACCATTGATGTGGTACGAGCTTTAATAGAATATTCTAGCAGAATCCGGTGTGCAGCCAGCGTTTCTTCTGTTTGTATGGGCTCATATTGGACCAAGGACATGCTCCCAGTGGCAAGCACCTAATTCCTTCCCTGAGCCATGGAGGCGCGGGGCTTCCTTTGTGTGTCCTGCTTGGTTTTACAATCTAGATTTGTGCTAATATCCAGCTCTTCTTTTCAGAACATGACACTTCATCTGAGGTCATCTGAAGTCTGGCAGTTGCTGCGTGTTGGCTTACTGACCTTGCACACCACTTCCCAACAAGAGAGTGCAAATAGTATTAACAGCAGCAGATGAATGTAAAAAAAATATGGGGTCTGTTGTTGTGCATTCTCTGTTCGGAGACCGTGCATGAGGCCAGGCAGTGGACAAGACATTAGCTAGAAGTCTTCAGCTGACGTGTCAGACACAGATCATGTATAGTTAAATGTGACCGGTTCCCTTTAAATAGACAGAATACATATATCATGAAGAAAAGCAATTCAATAAGCAAATCAAAACCTTCCATGGAAAATGTCTTGTACAAAAGGAAGCAAATTGGGGGAAGCAGCAAACACACACTGCGGAAAGTTTCCAGGGAAAAGCAGAGCGTTAGAACAACAGAAATTGTTTCTACTGCCAGGATGCCACTATAATCATTTTTCATAGCAGGGTTAGGTTCTGAACTGCAGCCAGACCACATGAGAGAAGTGTAAATACCTTTCCTTCAGTAGAGCTATCAGCGGAAAATTCAGAGGCTCTGCAGCCTCCATCAGACTGCCGAATCCCGTAATGACGTAGGGGATCGGAGGATCGAACCTCAACGCATGGCGGGGAGCACAGGCAACCATATCAAATGCTTACAAATCTGATGGAGACAGCATTGCTCAAACAGAACGAAGGTAAAAGCCCCGGCCACCAAAGAAGCGAGTATACTACCTCTTCTATTACAGGGAACCTCCATTAGGAATTATTTGGGAAACTGACCATATAGTGCATATTCCTGCTTGCGGACAGTTACATTCTTAAAAGAAGAACTCCAGGAAGTTTTTATTAACCCTTGCAGTGGAGCAACCTCTCAACTGCAAGGGTTAAGTGCTCGTTTGTGTCTAGGTTCAAAGAAAATAAAAGTTATACAGTGGTACCTCGGTTCACGAACGTAATTTGTTCCACGATTCTGGTCGCGAACCGAATCAAAATTTCCCCATAAGGTTCGATGTATCATGCTGGATTGAATAATACTGTACAGTACTGTATGTGCTAAAAAGCTTCACAGCAAGTGTGCTCAGGTCTTTCTGCGACCGCGATCTCGGCTAGAGGAAGCCACGACCGTGTGTCAGAGCGGGGAAGATGATCGTGTTCCTCACCCGATGTGGAGTTCGCGAACTGAAGCAAAATTTTGCAGAACTTTCGTGAACCGAGGTATTACTGTACTCACCTGAAGCTCCGAGCCGGCTTCTTCTTAGACTGGTCCTTCCAGCCTCTCTTCCCCTCCTCTGCAGTGGTCTAGGGTCCAGTAAATCAACATCTATACACAGTGTATATACACTGGGGGGAATTTATCAAAACTGGAGCAGACAAAATCTGCAGCAGCTGTGCACGGCAACCAATCAGCTTCTCTCTCTCATTTTCAAAGCTTAACTGAACTGAAGAGAGAAGTGGATTGGTTGCCATGCACAGCTGCTGCAGATTTTGTCTGCTTCAGTTTTGATAAATTCCCTTCACAGTGTATAGATGTGAGGACGCTGAGGAATATTGCAATGCTGCAGGCAGGGGGAGACAGGCTGGAGGGAGCTCTGTGACAGCTGGCCGGCTCAGAGCTTCGGGTGAGTATACCTTTGTTATGTTAGCACCTAGATACAAAACGAGCACTTAATCCTTGCAGTGCAGGGGAAGTCCCACGGCAAGGGTTGATAAAAAAAACATTTAAAATAAAGTGAGTTTGTCACTTTGTTAATACCAGAGAAAAAAGCCTTAGGTGAACACTACCATTTTTTGGACTGGCAGCTGAGCACCAACTCGAAGATAGAGAAGCTGAATGTGTTCGGCTTTGCTGCTAATGACACCGCTACCCAGCCTGGGAACGCATCTTCAAACTCAGAACTGTCACACAGCCATTGCACCTCATCATAGATTCACTATAAACCCATTACCTGCTTGGGAGTTGCTATCCAGTACACAGATGGTACTTTTGCTTTGATAAATGGTGCAGATTGTGTTTAGCAAACTTTCAAAAAGCTACGCGATGCAACAGCTAAATTGGGAGGGGAACAAACATATGGAGAACCTATCAGTTCCTGTTACCTGTCAAGACTGGGCTCCCATCCACCTTTGAAGGATCTACAGACCAAGTTCAAAAGTAGAGCCAATTCCGGGGCAGACGTGTCCCTGTACAGGATACTATACATGTAGCACCACTTTCAGGGTTGGCCAATATAAGTAGCCACCCTCTTGACAAATACACTTTAATGAGCCTAGTTTGATGAGTTTTCACTTACTACAAACGAATAATTCTTTAATTGGTGATCTGGTACGTGGGATTTGCCTAAACCTGCCATGAATGAACAGCTCTTACTGCATATTATAGAATCACTGCCTTGCCTTATAGAATCTTTTGTCTTATACGATCTTTGTCATAGTTACGTAGACTATAGTGTAAGTTGACACTGCTGTTAAAGAGAACAAGAATAAACACGTATGCTCACAGTTGAAATGTTTTTCCTCAGCAAATTAGAACATTTGATTACACACTAAAGCAAATCACTAACTGCAATCTCAACCTTTTCTCAGTTTGAGTCCAAATATTTTAGTTTAGTACCCAAAAGTCAGTAAAAGGTACTTGTAACCCATGGCTGTATTCAGGCCTATGGCTGCCCCAATGTGAACCCAACGTTCAGCATCAAAAGACAGTTTTCTGCCACCAGTGTAAAGGAGCCGTCTCTTTCAGCTACTCGGTAGATTGGGCCTTGAGGTACCCTGTAGCTAATAACGGTTGCCTCTTAGGCTAAAAACACTTCTTAGCATAGGTTCTGTACACCAAAGTAACATCTCGTTTCCCCCAAAAAAATAAACAGAAAAATCCTGTCCCCGATTCTTTACAAAAACGTACTATGCGCATATCAAATGATCATACTGGAAGAGCTTAGAAAAAGAACGTCTTTCAGGAAAACGCAGGAAGTTCTGCAACTCTCAAGGCTTTTCATCGATGGAAACCGAAAAGAGAAACCCGCCACCACAAGCAAACACCAAGCAGGCTTTCTGAGCTACCTATTGGGTATCTCAAGCTAAGCAGAAGCCAGCAGACAGAACAAGCTCCGATCTACGCAGCAGCGTGTTTATACCTTACTCCGGAAGAGGGGCTTGGCCCCGGGGCCACAGTACTCATTGTAGATCAGCTTAAACAGGAACAGGTGGAAAAGTGTGATCAAAGAAGCCACGCTGAACCAGAAGAGGAAGGGCAGCCCTGGATACTGTTTGGCCATGTGCTCTTCGTGGGCCAAGATCTCCTTCAGGTGCAAGGTGTGCCTCAAGTCCTGCAGATGCGTCAGTTCCGTGGAGATATACAGCAATGGCGTTAACGGCTGAGTCACCAGTACGGGGAAAATATGTCCTCTGATCTCCGACGTCAGCTCCACCGGCTCGTTCAAACACCCGGCCTCGCAGGCGTACAGTTTCACCAGCTTGTCCTGGAACTTCACGGACACGTGAAGGTATGGCTTTTCGTCCTGATCGAGCAGGACAGCGAGATTGATAAGGTCCTTGTTGTAGCGTATTCCTCGGAGAGCGTAGCTGTTGTGAAGGACGTGCGGGTCAGACTGGAACTGTAGGTGGTTTTCCGTGAACTGCAGGCCACCGAAGCTAAGTATCATCCCCTGCATGAGTCCGTGGGCACCGGCCGCTACGAGGCTTTTGCAGCCTCTCTTTTGTAAGGTCAGCTTCCATAGGTCCCAGAGCTGGAGAACCTGGGTGATCCCCCCAAGCTTGCTTGGCCAGAGATTTTCGGCATGCATGCTGGCATGGCCGCTAAAACAGTGGTCGGCATAATTAAGCGTCAGCTCCATCTTTTCCCGCTCCTCGTTGCTTATAAGAGGGTCCACAAGAGGTGCTGGAGAGCAGGACAGCATGTAGTAAAGAGTGATGTTGATGGTGTCACTGGTGGGAGTGTGAGCATCTTTGATCTTTATCATCTCAATTCCTAAGAAGAACAAGAGTCATTGTTAGGTAAAGCAATGCAAATACACCGACACACCTTCATTTAGTTTAGCTGAAATACATGACAATACAGCCAGGATCTTTCCCGGCTGCAGTGTGGCTCTCATACATATGCTGACTTTGGGTCACAGGAGGGAGTTAGTAAATGTCTTCCTTTGACCCAAAAGAGAACTAAAAACAAAAAAGGGTTTGTCTTTAATTCTATTTAAGCCCATTTGTGGGTGAAACATGTCAGAGGATAAATTCCCCAGCCATCGATCATTGTTGTATTGCAGGGGTAGCAAACCTCCGGCCCTACAGCTCTGGTGGAACTACAAACCCCATGAGGCATTGCAAGATTCTCACAGACATGACTCCCGAAGAGAGATGCATCATGGGATTTGTAGTGTCACCACAGCTGGAGGACCGGAGGTTAGCTACCAATGTTGTATTGTGTTCTGAACATGGAATTGCTTCGCTGTGGCTGGAATAGTTTGGGGTGCTGAAGGTCTCTTTGCGTGTAGGCCTGATAGTGTTGTCAGTATACGCACCAGGCAGATTTACTGTGTTTGTGGAAACATTCACCGTGCTGCTGCGGGTTCTGGTTGAATCCAGCATGTGTGACCTTTCTTCACAAAACAGGACAAGAGCTCAGACATATTTCTATCAAATAAAAAGGACTACCGGATCCATCCAGGCATCTGCCTGCCGTGCTGCTGACAAAGAAAAAACACCTACAATACGATCCATAAAAAGGGTCAGTGTTTTGTGTTACCTGAGCACCTTCCCACAACACTAAAAGCAACATAATAAAACACAAATTGTGGGAATTGAATTGTGGATGAAGTAAGGTAACTGAATCTATTGGCACCTCCAGGACTGAGACATTTACAGTGTGGCCCTAGAGACACGGGCACTTAAAAAAAAAAACACAATGGTTTGCTAATGGCAATTGTTAGTTTCAGGAATAACTCCACTTTTCTGATCACATTTCATGTTACACCCATATTCAGTGTGTAACATGGTCACACACCCCACCACCACCCTCTTACCTCAATCATGGGGTTCTTTTACCCATAGGCTCCACTGATATTTTTTTTTAATGAATGGCACAGCCCCACCATGAATGGAGAGCCTACAGGGGGAAATTTATCAAAGCTGGAACACACACACACAATCTGGAGCAGTTGCCCATGGCAACCAATCAGCATCTTTCTTTGGTTTGCTCAGGTAAGATTTGGAAATGAGACAGAGAAGCTGATTGGTTGCAGTGCAAATCTGCTTCAGATTTTGTCTGCTCCGGTTTTGATCAATTCCCCTCTACAAGTCCTGTCAGCCATCGTGGTAGAGAGACCCATCGTCCTCGATGAAGTACAAGTGCGGCAATGGCAGCTTCATTGACACTTCTTCCTGTTCTGTAACTCAAAGTCTGTAGGTTGGTACAGACAAGGCCTGGGTGGAAGAGTCTGCAGGAGCCTGAGCGTTGCACCCGATCTGGCAGATGTTATTCGCATGGCACTAGCACCCCTACATGATACCGTTGAGTATCGGAAGTTCTTATACTCGTCATCGCCATCTATGGGCGTTAGATGGAACTTTTATAATTGAAGCCCTTTAATCTAAATAAAGACATAATTCCTTAATTACCTGAAACAAACAAATCAGACCATATCTGCTGATGCTCATTAAACAGGTCCTCCGCCCTCATCCGCATCACTTCCACCATCTCCTTCTTGGCGGCCTCCCGTAACTTGCTAAAAGTCTCTTCCAGTTTTCCAGAATCAATGGCCTCAGAAGTGTAAATAACGGACAAAAACGTCTCATCAAACTCGGATTTCGGGCTGATTTGCACCCTGCCGACCACCTTTTTGGTGGCAACCACCACCAGCATACTTTTCCCATCTTCTAACGAGACGCGTCCGGAGGACAGAAGAAACTGTCGGTCTTGGACCTTCTCCACGCTGCTGGAAAATTTTGCTCCAGCGAGCGGCTTCTGAGTAGCGATTTCGAACGCCACGACTCTGTCGCTCGGATTGGCGACGTGGATCCTCTGAAGGTACACGTGAGGGCGGCTTCTGTGGGCAAAGAAGTCCTCCCGGACGGAAACGCAGTCTCTGGCGGAGTCCGCCGCCTCGATCTGCAAACAGCGAACCGTCCGTATCAAACCCTCCTTGAGGAAGACGGCACTGGCGTGGACTTCCGCTGAGACACCTGAATGCTTTACGAAGGTCAGCGGGGGATAGTCCGACAAGTGAAGCGATACAGAAGAAGATGACACCCACAGGTTATTTTTCTGAACGTCAACGAGAAAAAGTCCGTTGCCAACCGTAGCTGGGCCTTGCAGTTTTGAGTCTTCGCCAGGATAGGAAACCATCACTATGTCCCCCTTCTCAGAAAGCGCCTTCCATTGCTTAGTCTGGGCTTGTAGGCAAGCTCCGGGAGCACCTCGAGGCTGAGCCGAGAACCACAAGGATCTATATGCTGGTCCAGAGGAGATATACCAGTAGATGATGAAAAGGAACCCCAAGACCACCAGGACTCTCCGAGCCCAGCTGCTGGACAGCAGTCCCGGGAATCCCTTAAGCCTCTGCTGCAGCCACATCTGGGATGCTTGTCTTGGACAATGCGAGAGAAGAAACGTTCCAACAGATGGATGGATTCAGTTCCTGGAGGCAGAAGGCATCCCTTCTCGGAGCACTAGGTCATTGTCGGGAGGACAGGCTGCACATCTCACATCTTTCAAGCCAGACGCAATGACGTCCTCTACAACCCGCTCCGCATAGGAACAAGCAGGTCACCTGCACTCCTCTGTCTGGTCTTTATGGCTGAGAACATTCAAACTCAACTCTCCTGAAACATGTCACTCGCCCGGATCCGCCCTGACAGTTCTAAACCTATAAAGTGAACCTAAAAACAGGTTCCTCCACCTTCAGTATGAGCCCCCGGCTCTAATTCACTGTTACTTTGCCCTCTGACCTTACTGTGCGGTTACAGAGACCCTGTCACCAATGAAGACCCCACATGGCTTCTCCAAGCCAAGATCCCCCCTGACCGTGAGTTACTTCTACTCTGCTCTTGGTTTAGATTCCACTTCCTCTTACAGAACACCGACTATAAGTTCAGACCCCACTCGGCCCAGGGAGACCCCACGGCGACCTCCCTCAGCCCAAGGTGGCCCCAAAGACACCCCACTTGGCCCAAGGAGACCACACGTGGCCAAGGACACCACACTCAGGCCAAAGACACCCCACTCGGCCCAAAGACACCCCACTCGGCCCAAAGACACCCCACTCGGCCCAAAGACACCCCACTCAGTCCTTCTGGATTCAGACTACTGAGGGGGAGAATCTACTCAGTCCTTTTCTGCAGTCAGAACCCCCCTCACCCACACACTGACCTCTCACTGACACACTGACCCCCTTTCTCTACTGTGCAGCTTTGGCCCCTCAGCCCTGTCCTCAGGTGGCCCTCACTCAGCCCCTCAGAGGTAAGCTCTCCTTCCCCTCACACACTAGGCCCGGCGGCGCCCCCCAGTCCTCCGGTCACACAGCCCGCTCTCCCTCTCTCTCTCTCTCTCTTCTCACAATACGGAAGTGTCAGCGCTGCAGCTGTCCCGTACGGGCAAATCTCGCGAGATCTACTCACGCTGTCACCTGAGTGAAGGTCATGTGATCGAGTCACGCGAGGAAGGAGCTGTATCACGCGTGTTTAATTTTTAAACAAATTTAATGATTTGGGAACTTTGTTTTGTACATTTCCATTGGGATCTACACTGAGAGTGGATTAGAACGCATGTCAGGTATTTACCATTATCTGGGGCTCCGTTAAAGCGATTTCCCCTCATTTCCTGTCTGGTAAAATGTTGTCACTGGTACAGGAAGTGAGGGGAAATCTTACTAATGGAGAACAAAGCCCCATGGATAGCAGTACAAACCTGATGGTTGCTTTAATCCTACTCCACTCCATCCAAAGCCAAATGAGGTTTTGGTTGGCTACACACTAAAACTGTGCTGTAACTGGGCAGTCTCTTGTAGTGCAAAGTGATCTCTCTGTAACCAGGCAGTCTCTAGTTATGTGAAGCTTTCTCTTTCTCTTAGAATCCACGCTGAATCTTGCAATGTGAAGCGATCTCTCTGTACCTGGGCAGTCTCTAACTGTGTAGCTGTCTCTTGGTCACTGGACAGTCTCTTGTAACATGCAGCGCCCGAGGCAGTCTCTGCTCCTGGCAGCAGTAATAAAACATACAAAGTAGAGGCAGGCTCAGCCATACAGAATCATAATAACAACATTCAGTAACATTTCCTTCCACAACTTGTTACAGTGCCGGAAATCATCACACTGATCAGTCTCTCCCCCCTCTTCTCTCTCTCCCCCATTTCTCCTTTTTCTCTCTCTCTGTTTCTCTCTCTCCCCCTCTGTCTCACTCTCCCCCTCTCTCCTCTTT